TGTCGAAAAGTATTAGGGCTCAAAGCGATTGGACCAACGGTTTCCGAGATATACTCACTTTAAAAATTGTTGATCTTCTGACAAATGTCGCTGTATCTTGCAAACCGTTGGTCTAATCGCTTTTTGACCTTACAGTTTTCGATAGAACTCGTCGCGAACTATAAGAAACGCTACTCAGAACTACTCGGTACTCTCAAAAAATTTTCCGACGTCGGACCCCGAAAAAAATTAAAAAAAAATTTTTTGGGAGTACCGAGTAGTTCTGATCGGAGTTCTGGACAGTTCTCGGCGAGTTCGTCAAAAAGAACCAAGGATTATCATCAAAACTATTGTATCTAAAAATTAATTTTTCAAAAATTTTTAATTTTTTTTTTATTATTCAAAAATTTTTTTTACATATCAGGAACTCTAGGCAATCACAAATTGAAGCTATTGATCCGCTCAGAACTATTCCACCTCGAAATTCGATAAAAAATTACCACCCCATTTTTAAAAAATGTAAAAAGAATGTTCATTGAGCGGAACTCTTGTTATTAACTACAGGGAACTCTTCGTCTCGTCAAAAGGAAGTGGGAACTCTAATTAGAACTCCTGAGTACTATAGTTGGGGTGCTAACTTAACATACTCGGCCAACTTCACACTAGCCCCCCAATATTGAAAAATCGATTTATTTCTTCATGCATTCGTTTGCTCATCGTTTGCTCACGAATGCTCAGTTGGAATTTTCGTTTTCTCACCCTTAGTTCAAAACATATACTAGAAATATTAGCATCTTAAGACATTACTTAAGATAATCTTGAAATAAGAACGGACTGTGAGTATCGGCTTTATAATTTGTTTTATGTATCTATAACGAGTTACTTCCCATTCCTGGTACTGATGTCTTAAAGATTGTGTCCATATTGTGGACTACTTGATTTAACATGTTAGCTTACTTCTTAGTGCTTATAGCTTAAAGCCTAATAATTAAAACAAGATTGTGGACCAGGCATTACAGTCTATTGTTCTGGATTTAGGGCACGCAGTTATTAATATAGAAGCGATCGTATCAGTTCCTGTTATATGTGGTTTTATCACGTATGTAAATTCATGCAACTTAGCAAATGTTTGTTAACAAGAATGAAATTTGTAAAAAGAAGCATGTGTTATATTGACCTATTTTCATCAGAAATTTCTTTCACGCCTCAAATGATTAAATGCTTTTTTTATCAATGATCTTCTGGAGTTTTTTGAGAAGACTTCTTTTATATTTGTGAATTGACAATTATCAGTTGCTATGAACCTTGATCGGCGATCATAAATCATGATCCATTATCTTTGGAAACGTGAGACACGTGCTGAGAATCACATGTATTTACTAACATAGATAGATAAGTAGATAGCTATAAATAGAGTATTTATATCATTCTAGAGCAAGCTCTAAGAACATACAGTGAAAAGTACAATAATAAGAAAAAAATTATATATAAAGACTAAAGAGTTAAATACAGATGTAGAAATAATTATTGGATTATCAAAATAATTATGTAGGATATGCTCCAGATAATTGTTGGAATGTCAAATCAACTTTTTGCAACATTCCTCATTTTATCCTTAAAATTTCTTATTATTAAAATAATTAATAATTATTTGATAAAAATTTGTATCTAGCTAGATTTGTACACATTTCAGTAGAATTGTTCTTTCCGTGCGCGATTTCTGGCATTGCGGCTGCAGTGAGGAAATAGCGGAGCTCCAAGAATAGAGAAATCGCTCGATCTCAATAAGTCAAGAATACGGAGGTCCAACTGTATCTCGTGACTCATACATAACATGCGTATGTTACAAGACCGCCTGTGTCGATGAGACGCGTTGTCTCAAGGGGAAATTGCCGCTAGCGGATGCGTGGAATCAAACAGGACATCGTACGGAGCATTCTCCGCGAGACGGGAGCATACCGACGCGCGTGCTTATTAATAGCCGCCGCTTAACTCGATGGTTAACTTCGATGGCGAAAGATACGATCCATCACGGTAACGGAACCGGTTCGAAGTCCCTTGTGTGACTCGTACTAGGCGTTATGCGAGAGGAAGTGAAAGCTCGCGGGACAATACACGGCCGTGGACTCTCCTGTTGCAATGTCGAACCCCAATTGAGTCGCGATGAATGATATGGTGATATAAAAGGAAGGCTACTTTGATTTCCTTAGATGCCTAGATCCTCTCTTGATTGATTCGATCTATTTATATGTAGTTTTGTGAAAGGGAATCATGTATAATATTATATTTCCTTCGCAATTAACACAGAAAGATACTGATATATGATATCGCATTATAAAATCATGATCGAGAGCGATTCAAATTATATTACATATTGTCAATTTAATTTGTGATATTACTACTTTAGTTCTGTTAGGATTGTATTTTTCAAGATTGAAAATTAAATTCAGCGCGCAGCGCACATAAATTCCATATAGGTATCAGGATGTCTTATAGCTAATTCGCGACTGTAATTTTAATGACATATTCCTGAGTTAAAATTAAGACGAAAATTCTAAGATGAAACTGACTGAGATAAGAGACTGGAATACTTTGGGAAGCATTTACAACATATGAATACAAAGATCATCCATTTATTTACAATAGATAATGTATTTGCAATAGGTTGTCCAAAGTGTATAGTCAACTGTATATTAGAAAGATATGTATTTGTAGAGAATATCACATGGCATATATTCAAATTGCATGTAATTGCACAGCAGTCTACCAGCTTGTCATGACTTAATACTGTACGAAGCAATTTTTCCAAAGAGTCGTCAAGTCCTCCAGGTAAAAACATTATGAATGAGTGTTGACATACTTAAAATAGTAATGACGGTCGCTTAATTGATTTAGAAATTGATTTAGAAATGTCATTTAACCATCAGGAATATGTCACCCGACTTACGCGACGTAAAAAATTGATCATTAATATTCAGAACATATTTCATAGCTTTCAAAGCGAAATCAAACGTGAGTTAGAATATTTGTGAGACAATCTACCAATCTATCTTGACAAGAGCTACTGTTTTATGTTTCTGGTTTCATTAACACCGATGGTCACTGAACGACTGGGTCAACTCTTAGACTATTAATTAATTTTAATACTGGTTTTGGAGAGAGATAAACAGTTAACTTCTCCATTATAGAATTTTATTCTGGTATATTGAATAGCATATATTTATAACTAGGCAATATAACTTTAATCCTCTCTAGTAATTACAAACCGAGCGAGAAAAGTAATTTGACAATTTTTATAACAATTATTTAATTTTATCCGTGAATAAAATCGAAATAATCGAATTAATGAAGTATTATTTTGTTGTATAATAAATAAACATGCTATAAAATAATATATAATTAAGATTACAAATATAATATTAATACTGACGATTAAATTTCGATCTTGAAACTAATCATTGCAGCTCAAACTGTTTAAATCACTTCAAACTCATATCAACAGTATCTCACAATCATCATATGACAAAAGATTATATCTCCTGGATTAAAATTCTTTTTCAGAGGGTAAGGTCGAGGTGTCGAGGGACGGCAAATATCTCAGCACTTTGCAACATGGTAAAGTATTGGGTGAACTCGCGATTCTTTACAATTGCAAGAGGACAGCAACGATCACTGCTGCGACTGATTGCCAATTATGGGCCATCGACCGACAATGCTTCCAAACCATTATGATGAGGACCGGCCTTTCGAGACAAGCTGAATACACGGACTTCTTAAAGAGGTAAACCAGTAATGATACTTAAACTTTTTTAATGGACTTTGATCTAATGCTGTTAAATACATCCTTGCGTAATTAAAAATTTTTTTTATCTTGATGAATTTTGAGATGATAATTATTGTCTTCAAGTATAATGAACGTTATCTTGAATAAAATTCCGTGAAAAAATTTTTTAGATTTTCCAAAAATTATATTATTTAATATTTTAGTACACATCTTACGCTCTTATAGAATTATGGAATATTTTTTGAATATCGGATCGCTTTTTATTGTCATTGCAATAGGAATACAAAGTTCTGCATTGCAGATTATATCTGGAATTTTAAGTTTTAAAATACGACGAAGGCTAAATTTGGATGACTTAATTCAAAACACGATAATGACTAATTTTTGGATGACTTTTAAGATACGATAACGACTAAATTTGTACAATTATAAAACTGTATTTAATGAAAGTCACGTTCTTTCTTTGATAAAAAAAGATAATTTTTTTTATTTTAACGTGCAAAACTCGATTAACCGTGCAGATGTTATTTTAATGATCGTTAACATAACTCTGTGCAGTCGAGTTTTATATGATGTAACTTACGATGTAATCGTATATAACACAATAAACAGTAAAATACGAATGTCATCCAACGTTATCTTAATAATTCAATTTTCAGTAAAACTATCGCGAATGATTTTAATGAGGCACTATTAAAAGATAAATTTATGTTGTGAATTTATATATTTTTTGCATATTTAATAATACGTTACGTATCAATATTTCATTACCTAGAAAATATTTTCTTACGTAACGTCTGCGAGTTAAGAGTTATACAGCCTTTTCAAAAATTAAAAAAATTAAATAATAACCTTGTGTAGTAACCTGTTATGAATATCTAATAAAAACTTATAGAAATAATCTTACGTTGTATACATTTAGAATTGACGCATAAATTTACGTTTCAGCGTGCCAATTTTCAAAAACCTGCCCGAGGAAACTCTAATCAAAATTTCGGATGTTTTAGAAGAGGTATGAGCTGGCTTTCTTGGCAAAATATATCTTTCGTTATCCTTAAATTATATAATTGATAATTAATGTAATATTTACAGACATTTTACAACAACGGGGATTATATAATAAGACAAGGAGCAAGGGGTGACACATTCTTCATCATCAGTAGAGGACAAGTACGCGTGACAATAAAACAGCCCGATACAACGGAAGAGAAATATATTAGAACTTTAAGAAAAGGCGATTTCTTCGGTGAAAAAGCTTTACAAGGGTGAGCGTAATTAATATTATCACTTTTAATTTTTGTTATATTTTGTGAAAACATAAAAATCCTACGTCATTTGTCATCGTTTTGTTTAAATATCTTGTTTCAAGATTGTAACATTTTTTAAATGAAATTTGCACTTTAAAACTTTAGGATTAAGATAAATATATGCTAATTTATTTCACTATTATAGAGATGATCTCAGAACTGCTAATATTATCGCCGACGATCCAGAAGGAGTGAGTTGTTTGGTAATAGACCGCGAAACGTTTAATCAATTAATCTCATCCTTGGACGAAATCCGAACGCGGTACAGGGATGAGTTGGTGGAACGTAGGAGGTAAATATATCTTTTGTTAACTGTACAGAAATTAGATTTATAGCTAAGTATCTTAGAATTGTATGTGCGTGTATGTGTGTATGAGAGAGAGAGAGAGAGGGGGGGGGAGAGAGAGAGAGAGAGAGAGAGAGAGAGAACTGCAATTACTATTATTTATAAATACTATGTTCCACGCTTAACATTAGGATGGGACAATAAACTATACATACCAAGTAAGTTTAGCAATAAGAACAGAAATATATGTTATGTAAATGAATTTACTGATAATACCAATAATTTTTATTGGCATAAAATTGTTAATAATTTGAGTACAAAAAAATGGTGAAGATATAAAAAAACTTCTCTGCACAATTTGCAAATAATAAATATTTAAAATAACAAAGAAATAATTTATACTAATTATAGTGATTATATATTGAAATCTTACAATTTCTTTAGATTAAACGAGGAATTTCGGGATGTACGATTACAAGACCTTCGGACTATTGCGACTCTCGGCGTGGGTGGTTTCGGAAGAGTTGAATTAGTCCAAATTGCCGGAGACAGCACACGATCTTTTGCCCTGAAGCAAATGAAGAAGGCGCAGATCGTCGAGACACGACAGCAACAGCACATTATGTCAGAAAAGAGGATCATGAGCGAAGCGGATTGCGATTTTGTAGTCAAGCTTTTCAAAACCTTTAAAGATAGAAAATATCTGTATATGCTGATGGAAGCCTGTTTGGGTGGCGAGTTATGGACCGTTCTTAGGGATAAGGGATATTTTGATGATGGTACTACACGCTTTTATACTGCATGCGTTGTGGAAGCATTCGATTATCTGCACTCCAGAAATATCATCTATAGAGATCTTAAACCGGAAAACTTACTTTTGGATAATCAAGGGTAAGAATGTCTGATTGAGAATAATAAAATAATAATTTTATTATTTTAAGATTTGAAAAATTATGGATATATATTGATATATACTCATTAATTTTGGATCTCATAAAAAATATATATTCCGTAATAACTTAATAAATTTTCAAATAACAAGAATAATACCGGCAAATGAGAGTCCCTTCAGCTGTTGTTAGTGCGATCATATAAGATATGTTAAAATGTGAATATTATATACTACGTAAGTAGTTCCCCCCATTATTGCGCGTCGAACTTTTTGTCGAACTTTAAACGCAAATCTAATCAACTACCGTAGTAATATCACAATTTTTGATGCTTATAGCATCTAAAATTGGATCTTAATAATATGTTGAAAGACATATTAAATTATTAAATTATAATATTTAAAGTATAAATGAATTTAAATCTATGAAAAATAAGAATTGTGAAGAATATCACGAGTTGGCGTTTCGTCCCGGCTTCCACTACTAGACTCATCAGTAAGGTAATGTAGTGGGAGCCTACCTTAGACGCCTTGGGGAGATGTTAGAAAGAAGTTCTATATAAACAATCACTCACATAATTCGGCACTTGCGAGAATTGGAATGAGTAACTATAGACCTCTGTTGGCTAGTCGACGTAGTGATATTCCTCACAAATTTCTTTTTATTAGATAATAATTTGAAGTAACAAACGCATTTTTTCAGCCAGCGTAAATTCAACAAATCAATTAAAGATGACTCTCGAAAGTTTCAAATAACAAGAATAATACCGGCAAATGAGAGTCCCTTCAGCTGTTGTTAGTGCGATCATATAAGATATGTTAAAATGTGAATATTATATACTACGTAAGTAGTTCCCCCCATTATTGCGCGTCGAACTTTTTGTCGAACTTTAAACGCAAATCTAATCAACTACCGTAGTAATATCACAATTTTTGATGCTTATAGCATCTAAAATTGGATCTTAATAATATGTTGAAAGACATATTAAATTATTAAATTATAATATTTAAAGTATAAATGAATTTAAATCTATGAAAAATAAGAATTGTGAAGAATATCACGAGTTGGCGTTTCGTCCCGGCTTCCACTACTAGACTCATCAGTCTACTCACTACTTACGTAGTATATAATATTCACATTTTAACATATCTTATATGATCGCACTAACAACAGCTGAAGGGACTCTCATTTGCCGGTATTATTCTTGT